ATAACGCAGCATACCAGCCTCCGTTGTTCAAGCAGCTCATCCGCGCAAGACGACCAGATAATGCAGCCGCCCTCATAGCTCGCCCGGACCTTTATCTTGTAGAAATCCGTGAGGGGCCGGATCAAGAGTCAACCCAAAATTATTCTGGAAGGTCAAGCTTGCATCCCTGGGTGTTCATACGCTCTCCGGAGACTCAGCAGCAACCATTAAAGTCCTACTCACCGCCGGTAGCCTTTCCCGTCTCTCTTTGTGAAAATCTCTCAAAGCACCTTCTCTTGGCTCAAGTTCCGTTCACTGAAGCGGAGAGAAATGAACTGAATGAAAGTGGAAACTTCACCGATAGTGGAGTGTACAATGGCAGTGGAGACCCAGACTTAGAAGATACTAAAAACCATGGCAACAGTGTCGATGGGGGGTTTGATAAGTCAGAAACCCAACAACCAACGGGAGGTAGAACAGCACAATTCAACCTAGACATTCTTCCTCCCTTACGCGTTGTATGCGAGGAATCCAACTGCAGTGTGGAGGTTGTTCGCCTTCCTCCAAAGCTAGAGGATCAACCAGATCCGGATGGTGTGAATACTATGCTTACTTTTCTAAAGACCGCCCCATTGGACCCTCATAGACATGAGCCGATGACCCCTTCTTTAGATGGACAGGGACGCTTCCTTCGACCATGGGAGACCGAAGCTAGCCTTGAACTACGTGGTGGTCTCCTGGGCCAATTGATTAATCTGTTGTGTAAGTCTCTACCCCATCAAAGTATTTATATTTCTTGCTTAGTCTAGCTAAATTAGTTGAATGCACGCGAAATGTATTGTTAAGACTCAACCTGTCCTTCAAGATACTCAGCCGATCACTCTTGTGGGCATTATATCTCTATTTTTCTAGTATTGTATTCCAAAGTGGTATTTCATAAAAGTGGGCTCACCTCATTTTCGCATCCTGGTCGTGTTGTCAGAAAGACCTAGTTGGACGCACCTTGTCCGAAATTCACTGCTATGGTGTACATTGTAATTATCAGCGTCGGACCCTGGACTTAGTACATCCCCAGATGTTTCGCCGGCATTATCATTGAGTCTTGCCATTCTTAGCATCAAACTACAACTCGTCAAATGTACAAGTGAAGTCAATTCCCTGTCCAAACTTTCTGCCTGAACGGTTGTGCTATCCTCTTTCGATAGAAAGTTTTGTCAAAAGGTTAACTTCACTAGTCTCTTTGACTAGCTGTAGGTTGGTGCTGAGAATACCAAGACTCTCTGATGATGCCGAAACGTCTGGGAATTATGATACCCATTATAGCAGAGGACTTTGGACAAGATGTGTCCAATCAAGTCAACCTGACAACATGACCAAGTTGCGAAAACGAGGTCAACCCACTTTTAAACATCAAAAGGAGCCTGCGACCATTCCAAAGGCCACACCATGTTGGTCTTCATGTCTCCAATTAAATTTAGACACTTCCACCTATTCCTTTCGCATTTGCAAGACCTGTATACTAAATGACTTATCTTTTTGAGCCAGACCTAGTTCTATTAACCTATCTTGGTGGGTGAACATCAACAGAGCCTCGGCATAACATTACACCAAATCAACAATGTATGATTAGCATCTCCTACTCACATCACGCCCATTCTCAATTGGGACTGTATATATATGCCAATTGCTTGAGCTTCCAGCCTCAGCAAACTTGAATCAAATTATATGTTCATGAGAAAATGTCTTCAATGACTCCAAGTAGTGGTTAGTCTGCATCATTTTATGCAATAGCAAATTAATGCTAGATTCAATTTTTTAAGCTTTATTTCAAGAGTATCGTATCTTATTAGGCTGAGGCTTACAAAGAATTAAATTCGAACTGGATTTCCTTCAACCAGACACTTTTGGGTATATCTTTTCGGGCATAATTTATCTTTGGGTTTTGCTCAATGCGCTCATCTGACTTAAATTTCTGTCTAATCTTAGATGATATTGGCGTCCGATATAGAACTGTAGAAG